CCCCCCCACACTTTATGATGCCCCCCAAACTACGTCCCAAATCATTACGCTTATGTAGATGGTGACTTGTTCGTGTCATTTGTACCGTGCTTCGGGATGGGTGCAGTGAGAGCCTTTCTCAGGCGCTTCCTCGAGAATCAGACTCTGGTAACTTAGTTGAGCTCATCTTTATGGGGGCAGAAGCATCTTTTACTGTGTGCGCTGCAGTCTGTAGGATATATTTTTAGGGTAGCAATTGAAGGTATGGACTAAAACTCAATATTGGGCGCCCTCAGACCGCTGCTGCCCAAAGGAAAATTCCTGGGGGGTTTTAGCTTTTCTTGTGGTAGCAGGGGATGCCGGGCTGAGTCTTGGGTACCGCTATTTTTTGTCTTCCTCAGAACTGGTGAGTTTATTCCTAATAATCCTTCTGACTCCATTACCTGCCAGCCTGGTGCCAAATCTGTAGTCTTATTTCATGGAAGTCATGCATTGGGGTTTTTATTCAGAGGGTACCCACCCTGTCAGCTTTCCAGTCACGTATGGTTCAGTAAGCATCTTAATTCGACCTAGGAGAAAAATCCTTAACTTTTCTCTCTCTCTCACTGATCAGAAGGAAGGTTTCATGCTCTGGAAATAATCCAGATTTTATTCTGTTTCCAATTTAGAATATCAGTTTTGAGAAATTAAAATGACTTCACAGCCAGTCTTCTGCATGGTCTGAACTGCAGGGTGGTTCTAGCGTGTTACCTTTTAATTCTTGAGATAGTTAACTTGCTCTTGTTTTGGTGGGGGTAGTCCATGGTGCTCGGTGCTGTCATATGCAGCCTGGGAGACGAATGTTGTTCCAAATCTTCAGGCATGGAAATGAGACCCAAAGAAATTCAGCAATTGGGAGTTGAGCCCAAATCTCCTGGGTCCTAGGTCAAAATTCAAGCCCCTGCCCCCCGCTTCCATCTGCACAGTGTCCAGGCACCTGCTATGATTCGGGGCGAACGTGAGCAAAGCGCAGCTCTTAATTCTGAGTTGGCGACAAAAACCAGTCTCGTGCCTTTTAGTAACGGCGTCGAAACATTTTGCTCTGAATTGATCTAGGCTTGCAGTAAATACATGAAAAAGACATAATTATTTAAGTGTCATGCATCTCATGGGCTCTGTCTGTAGTCACTAATTGCATCTTTGTTGTCTTAGGCTTGAGAGCAGGGATGTCTCATGCCTTTAGAAATAATTTCCATTGAGAAGTGCTGTTTCTTTAGTTGTCAGGCCCTTACAATAAGCTGTCCTTGAGGGTATGAAAGACTCTATTTCATTCAGATTCAATTCAGGTTTCATATTTTGCCCAACTATTTTTATTCCTTTCTGTAAGAGAGTCCAGGAAACATGGCCGAAATGTGTGCCTTTCTCATTTCTAAACCACTTTCTACTCCCATGCTTGCTTAAATTGGCTTTCACATGTGCCCTGCTTTCTTTCTAGGACATCGACAAGAATTAGCTTAATTAATTAACTCTTTACCTGCAACTCTCTTGGTATTGAGTTTGGGGACACCGGCAGCACCGGCAGATGGAAGTAGTTATCTGTACTAGTCTCAAGTCAAGCAGAAGGCAGGGTAGATTAAATAAATCGGAGATGCTTAAGCAATATTCATAGATAAGCTGCTGCTTATGAAAGCTTATGCATCTCTGATTTAGTTGGCCTACGTGGTGCACATCTACCTTGCCTTCAGCGCTGATCGATCCCATGGATTCCACATTAAACACTAGTCTGTGTCTTAAATGCATCTTCAACTTATTGGGTCAACTTCTCCATTCAGATGGGAGAAGTCACCCCCTCTCAGCCACCAGCAGATTTGTGTGTCCGTGCTATAGCCAGGAGTAGAGCTTGGTCTATAGAAGCTTACAAGCTAATGATAAGTGCCAGTGTATGCTAGGAAATAGCAATATTAGAAAATGGGGATGTCATTAGAGGACTATAGACGTGTTTGGAGCTGCCAGGAACATTAAGTCACTGCGAGAGAGAGTTCAACATGCGCAGGCTATGTACAAGCAAAGAAAAGATGCAGATGGAGCTTGTTGAATGTGCCATAATGATCTATCATGTCTGAAAAGTAGGCAAGATTTCATGTGGCCTTATGAATAACAAAGCAGGGAGGTCAGGGTGGCTTCTATTTTTCTTTCTTTAGTACTTTTAAGTTCACGCTCCTTTCTGCAAAGCAATACAACGGACTTCTCTCCATGCTTTCAGAATAGGGGGGTTGTGCGTGAAAGACAGAAAGTATTGTGTTGGCTTCTTGCCTCTTGCCAGAATGAGGGATGGTCTTGTGCTAGGGACTAGTGGCTCTGCCATCTAGGTGTCCCTGGCTCCTTGCTAGTTTGAAGCTGATATTTAATGCATGGGTGAACGTCACGTGCCCCTTGGCAGAAATGTCGCTGTGGTGCACAGAGCGCGGGGCTCCAGGCCTTGTTCAGGCTTGCTAGACAGCGGCATAATGCAAGAGTGAGTTGCAGTCGCATGGGGATCAAACCAGGTGCTTCTAGACAACTCGTCTGGAATCAGGGTTTGCCCAAAAAACCTTTCTCGTTGCGGAAACGTCTCTGAGAGGCTGAGGGCGCCCTGCCCCCTCCCCTTTTATTTTTTTTTTCAATTCCAAAAAAAAAAGGAGAGAGAGAAAATGGTGCTGGTGAAAGGGGCTGGCTGGAAAGCCCTAGAAAATGAAGTCCCTTTGTTTAGTCCCAGAACGTGGACAGCCTGAGAAGCAGGAACGCCAGCTTTCTGCCACCGCTTTCCTGCTACTGCGCGCCAGTCCTTGGCATGAAGGGAACAGCTTGCTCCTGTGGCCTGTTCAGTCCGGGCTCTCTCCCTGGGGTACTGGTTTGCTGGCGGTTGTGCTACGAGGAGATGTGCCCACCCGGACCTGGGCTCGCTGGGCACGGAGTCACCCAGCAGCTGCTGGTTGGCAATGCCTCGTGCACCGCTCTCTCGGGGAGGCCCCGGCGGCTGACCTAGGGGTGAGGAGCCAGGCGGTGCGATGCTCACGTGGGCACAGATACAAAATACCTCGCTTTTGTCACAGCTGGCAGCTTTCTGAATGGACGGAGTGGGGGGGAAAAATGACTCTTAAAAAGGGAGTCACGGAAGCCTAGCTCATGCCCACCGGTTTCCCTTTCGTCCAGCCCCACGACTGGACGGGCCGAGTTGCTAGTGCTTGTAAGAGGCAGCATTCACTACTTCTGCAAATGCAGCTCTCGTGTTTGATGCGGGTTTCACCCTCGATGCTCGGTGCAAACACAAGTGCTGCTGCACTTTAATCCAGTTGTTTTAATCAGAGAAAAACACTTGCTTCGAAGGTATCTGCACTTAAAACCCACCCTTTC